TATAAGATATTGGTCATGCAACGATTAATATCATGAAATTTGTTTTGTCGGAGCAAATGGTTGGCTGACATGTGCCGTTGCGCGGCACATTTCAGCCAACCATTTGTTCCGGCAGAACAAATTTTATCGTTATGACCCAACATCGATGTTATCGTGCAATTATTATTCGAGACTGTTGTGCTTATGTAATAACGTACAAATAGGTAATAAACAAGAAAAAAATCATTTAGTGATAATTTTAGTGATCGTACATAATCAAATAATCTGACTAACATTACTGAATGTACTAAATTTTGGGGTTCAAACAAAATTAGTACATATGCTTAAAATCGATTAAAATCGATTAAAATATCGATTAACTTACGTAAATTTTGATTTTTATATGTATATCGATAATATTTTATCAAATTTGATTGGCTAAAAGGCGTTAGATTATCAATTAAATGATATTACTGATCACTAGTCATTTGGGTCATTTTGGTCATTTCAAGTCATTTACCATCCCTGCCGCCAAGAGAAAACTTGTCTTACCGGACACAATTTCCAAAAGATCAGATAGACTGAGTCCGGGTGTATCAGTAATTTGCAAATTTTGTAACTATATCTATTAATATTTCCAGACATGAATTCACCACATCCTATTTTTTCTATACTGTATTTAATTAATATAAACTTTAAATTTGAACTGTATTAGTCATCAAAATGGATTATTCTGGAATGAGCAAAAAATTCCGGGTCGAAATAAATTTGCTTAACGTCGGCCCAGCTCTGATGAATTCCGGCCCAGAACTTTTAACTAGCATTATCGTTATCACATGAGAGGCGATTACGTGTAAGGACAATTTTATAACCTGTCCCATTTGTTATTAAAAAAAAAAAAATTACTACGTACGATCGTGATAATGTCTGAAATCGCTAAAAAACGAAACGTCGAAAATTACGAAGAATCCACTGATAAACGATCAAGTGAATCTGTGTTACTAAAAAATAACCAAGAACACTTAAGCAAGCGCCAAAGAGTGGAGGGAATAGATAACAATCCTTATCTTGCTCACCGCCAAATTACCAAAAGTCCTCTTGATGGGTGGTTTCCAGGAAGAACTACTGCTGAACAAGCTCGAATAGCCGAAGATGGTGATATAAATCCATTCACAAATAAACCCTTTAGTAAACGATATCGTGAACTTTTAAAAGCTCGCCGAACCTTACCTGTACACGCTCAACGAAAGGAATTTCTTGATCTGGTTCATGAGAGCCAATTTGTTGTATTTGTCGGTGAAACTGGCTCTGGGAAAACGACACAGTTAGTAATTTATGTTTGATTACATTAAAATGCTACTATTGTTACTAAGTCGTGAATTCGTTTTCTTGTTAGAATTCCGCAATTTTTATGCTATGATATACTTCCACATTTGAAGAAAAAACAAATTGCATGCACACAGCCACGTCGAGTCGCTGCTATGTCTGTAGCTCAACGTGTAGCTGATGAAATGGACTTTAAACTTGGTGAAGAGGTCGGATACAATATCCGTTTTGAAGATTGTTCGGGACCAAAGACTATGCTTAAGAATAGATATTACTAAATACTCATTCACCAAATTTCGGTCAAAATTTCGCAGACTGTTCTGATTTTGATTTTAACTACATATATATTGATTTATAATCTTAAAAAAAGTTTTTGTAAATTTTTTTAAATACAGTATAGTGGATTCATAATACCTATAATATGAATGATAATGCAAGCAGTAAATGATAAAGATTCACAAATTGTCAAATTTTCTTTATTTTATTATAATAAACTTGTTAACTTATTACTTTATTTTCTTTATCATTGACTCTATCGGTTAAATAAAAGCAGTATAACTTGAGTATTTTGGTAACTTGGAAGAGCAATTTTAAAGGAATCAATAATACTTGTTCTTTCGTATTTAATGTATTTATAAATTTTTTATTACTGGATTAATTTGTTAGTTTGCTTTATAGTTTTGTAAAATAATTTTTTTTTTAAAAAAAAATTCAGCAGTTCTGCCTCTACTTTATTAGACTTTATAATATTATACTGTAAAATATTAAAATTTTTGAAAAGTATAAATTCTAATGTCATCTAAATTACAAGTATTAGCTCACCTGGCTCTTTGTGACCTGCTATAGGCAGATTCTTCTTCAAAATATTTTCTTCTACACTTGAAAAGAATAGATCTTCACTGAAAGGTTTTACTAGCTCATTAAGACTATCTATTCTTCCTTCTAAACTTTTTTTACCTAAATCTAGGCAGAATAGTTTATCTCTTACTTTTTTATAAAAGAAAGAAAAATATATCACATCTATAAAAGAAAACAAAACTATCTAGAAAAACAAAAACAAAAAAAGAAAAAGAAAAAAAAATATTTAACCAAAAAAAAGGGGTCCTAAATATAGTTCTATCATAATAGAATGAAGATGAAAAGACATAGAAGTTCTGTTGAACCACCTTAAAAAAACAAACAAAAAAAACAAAAAGAAAAAAATACACTATTATAATCTATGCTAAATATAAAGGTAAAAATTATATACTAATTGCAACTAATTAATATATCTCAGCTATAAAACTTTACTTTAATATTGGGACTTGTTCTGGACATATTACCAGAGTCAGGTATTTTCTAAACAGGTTATCAATCTTATTCCTATATAGTACTGTAATGATAAACAAAACAAACATGTGGTTGTATTTTACTAAGTTCGTCCAAATTAAATAAGTATAAACAATGCCGATCTTTTGAAGAGGATAAGCTAAAATACTCACTTTTTGTCAAAATTTTTGGTGAGATCAGCAATATGCGAAAGAAAAAAAAAACACTTAAAACCACTAAAAGAATATAGATTTTCTTTTACTAAAATCAACTATTTATCTAAGCCTGCAGTCTTTTCGATAAGTGATAAACTCTAAACTTGTTAGCAAGTAGTATATAAAAACTACTGTATTTCTAAATGACAAGTGCTGTGCCCTGCAGTCAGTGAGTGATAAACTCTAAGACTGTTCACAAGTAGCTAAGATTTGAGACACAGAGGTATGGGCATACCTTGGAGGCATGCCTATAGGCATGCCACTTAACTATTAAACATACTCTAATTATGTGATATATGCATCATATCTGATTGGCCAGCATGTTAAAAGTTAAGGTCATCAGAGTTGTAAATTTTTTAACATTTTAATTACTATAAATCTCATATACTGTCTAATAATCACTGTTTTAGATAAGTTATTGTAGCAACAAAATTTTAATTTATACAAGTCTAATTCTGTAATTTATGTATCACTAGGAAAATTTTTACAATAATTCACAATAAATTACTATAATTCTGGCAACAAAATTTTTTATATTAAACTATAGTAGAAATTACAATAACTCTTATATTTCAATTAAACCAATAACAGAATTTTTATAGTAAACTACAGTATAATAAAAGTTATGATAATTCAAATGCAAACCAAAAAAAAATACTAAACACTATAAAATAAGTATATACTTTACAGAAACTAGCTATTTTTTTTTCAATGGAGTTAAGATCATCTTAGTGATATTATTAAATTTTTTAATAGTTATAAAATTATTTTACAATAAAATTGTTCTAAAATTATTTTAAGACTATTATTTAATATTATTATAAAATTATTATAAAATTATTCTAAGATTATTATAAGATTATTGTAAAATTATATAATAATTATAAAATTATTTTAAAATTATTTTAAAATAATATATTATAAAAATTATTATAAAATCATTAT